TAGCAATTATGTATACATTTTTAGATTTATTTGTATTCTTTGCAAGCTATATAGAAACCTGTTTAGTCTGAAATACAATATAAAGTGCTCTGTAAACTTAGTTACCAGATGCCAACTATTAGCTATAACGCTAATAGCTTAAAAAGCTTTTCCTGCTTCAGTGCAGCTAGCTAACAATAAAGAACTGCTTACTGATTAAGAAACAGAGTGAAAGTGAACTGTATATACTTGTTAACATAAAATTCAGTGTTGGAGCCAGGATTGGTACAAAAGTGATCCCCTTAGACTGTTTTTTTAGTTTTAGTTTTCTTTATTTTCCCCTGAGCTAGTTCTGTCACGAGTTAGCTAACATAAGCTAATGTGAGTCTGCTAGCAACAACCAACCCAGTGACATTGCATTCTTTACTGGCACAATAGGGCACTACACACGCTCTCAAACCTTTAACTTCAAACACTTATTTATTAAATCCATTTTCACCGACAGTTTTCAAATCTATGACAGTTTTATAGAGCACGGTGTAAATTCTGGTGTAAATTACCTTCTATACACTTGATGCGTCATGTCGACCTTAAGGACTTCATTTCCAGTTCTTCACTCTGTATTTAGTGGTGACTCAAAGAAAAGTTTGTAATTTACACAAATGTTGGTGACCGTTAAGTTATGTGCCAAATCTAAATAATTTGGCTATAGAATCTTTATTTTAAAAGCACATAGATGTTAATAAATGCTCATCATAGATGTTAATAATCACTGTATATGTGACGATGTTCATACAAAACCCAGCCGCTAAGGAGGAGATGGGATATATACAGACATATATGCATACATGCACTATAATCATTAAAGATTTAATCAAAGTCCTCAAACAGTTTGGTCAGCTCCTACCTTTTGACTCGTTAATATGTATCTTAATAAATTATTCCTCAATTTGTGTAACCTAAATTATTCTAATGACTCAGTTTAGATGTGATTCTGATTTCAGGGTTTCCACTAATGTATTACAAGCCTGTCAGATCAAAGTTGGGCCTAGGGATTGGCGAATCTTCTTATGTAACATACATTTTATAACATGTTTCTAGATATAAACTTCAAGTCAACTAATGAATGTTTTTAATGCATGGCCAATATTTTGTTTAAAGCAGGGATTGTTCAACACTGGTTTGTTTACATGCAGACTGCAATTGGCAATAGGAGCTCCAGATGTGCCTGTTCAGTTAGTGGAAGTTGAATGTGGTCATTGCTGCTGCTAAGTTGGGTATTTTTCAGTGTACTAGCTCAATATTAAAGATCCTATTGGCAGAACAGCCAGCTTTGATTAACAACTCCTCTGAGAGAGTCTTGTTTATGACCGTTCAAATAGTGACTGACCCGAGAGAGTCACAACTGTCACTCTCATCAATATTCCCGCCCCTTAGTGACACCGCTTGACCGTCCAGGGGTCACTGCAGGTCAGAGTTCAATGCTAATGAGCCTTAGGTTCCTTCACATTGCTGTGCCAAGCTCTGGGACTCTAAGTGCTTGGAGGATTGATAGAGGCAGATTTGACTCCAATAGATAAACAGAGGAGGATTTATGGGGCTGACCACTGGGCAGTGGAGCCTGACTGTGACCATGGAGCAGCCTTGGTCACTTTACAAAGTCGCATCATTGACATTGAAGCAAAGTATGTGTGTGGGAGGGGGAGGCTCTTGACTGAGGTTTCACAATGATGCACCTTACTTCTCAAGCTCATTTTAGAAAATCAATTATAGCCATTTGGAAAATGGGTTAATCACTCAGTGTGTCTAATCTCAGGATCCGTCTGTTATGAACATGATGTCATATATTTTGGCACTTAAAGAACCTGTCTGTCTGTGCAGTTTGTTCCAGCGTTTTGCAGTTCATCATTCAGTAGGACTACATGTGAGTCATTACCTGCATTCACTTTCCATAAATCTAATGACAGGTTTTTACTGCATTCGATAAATGGCCCCTCTGAGCTTGGAGACCTTTACAAATGCATATGCTGATCTGGAAATGTTTAAACAGTAAACATGCCTTCTGTGGTTAAATGGAAGGAACAGGGATGCACTAATCAATGCTCGTATAAAATGTAGCAAATAAATATAGCTGTATACGTTTTTAGAATTTATATTAGTAAGATAATGTATACAAATGGAGCAAGATAAATAAAAGTGCTTTAGTTGTTCATCGAATTTATTTGCATCTAATTTAGACCAAAATACCCCAAAGGTGGAACTGAAACTCAATTTTTGAGGCAGTATCAGTTATAAGTGGGGTCTCTGTCTGCGAGTTAAATTAGCTCAATGTCAGTGAAAACATGGCACTTTCATGTTGTATTCACTTTCCTAAAAGCAATGTAGTACTATATTCGTTTGTCCCTTTTATAAGTCTAAACTGACTTGGCAAACTTGTTGCTTTTTGATGTTAAGAACCGTAGGTCTCAGTCATACAGGCCTAGAGATGGATCAGTGGATCAGTCGGAGGAAGGGAAAACTGTTGATTCTTCAACATGTTGGCAAGTGGTTGCTTGAGATTTCTGGCTTTTGCAGTGTGAAATAAATTGCAAAGATAGTGCAAGGTTTTCAGTCTTGCACTAATTGTGATTGGTCGCGAACAGATTGCTGCAGTTGCCTGCAGTTTGCATGGAAGATGCCAACTTGTTTGCAAACACTTGCCAACTACTTACTAAACAGATTTTCCCTGCACCATCATATGCATCTTTGCCACCAACCGTGAGTGACTTCCAGAAACCATTTGCCAACTGGTCAGAGACTTGTGGTTGTCAGGGTATCGTTGACCAGTTTCTAGGCCACTGAACTGCTTTTGAGGTCATTGTATATTCATCCCACGCAGTGAATGTAACTGTAGCAGCCATTGCATTAGTGCTGTGTGCGTCATACTTGTCTCTGTGTCTTTACAGCTCAACCTCCACCTCTTAAGTTGACAAGGAACTTCCATTCATTTCTGATTTATTCCTCCTGACCCCTCTCCATGTTTTCTTATCAAGCCGGTGCTGATTTTTGGTTCCTGTTGAAACTTTTCAACCTGCACTATTGACATTTCTTCCCCTCATTACCTCCATCAGACAGATTTATGTCTGAGATGCACAGAGTTGCACGTTTGCAGAGAGTTGCTGTTTCTAAAATTCACTTTGTGTTCAGTTTGAATACACTTTCACTAAAGGAGTTGTTTTTTTTTCTTAAATGATGAGAAGTTTGTGCAGATAGCGTGACCTAGTTTAGACGCACACAAAATTAACAAATAGCAAGAAACAGACAAATAAAGAGAAGCGTTGATGCCGTTTGATGCGAGCTCCGAGAGATAGCGTTTTTTTTTTTCCTCTAGATGTTTCTCTGTTAAATCAAAGCACATTTCATTATGGCAAATCATTCGGTTTCCTGTGTAGTTTAAACATTTCTACACAAAGTCTGCTTTTTGAAATTGGACCACATACATTCTGCTTTTTCCTCAACAAAGCAGGAAAAAAAGAAACTGAATGTAAGAGGGAAAAACAGAGGAAAACTTGAGTGCTAATTAAAAGAAACCAACATTTTTGAAGCTTTTCCTACTTTTCGTTCGGAACGTCTTGCTTAAATCCCATCACGTCGGTGGTAGCGAGTCAGCGTTGTCTTTTTTTGACATTCAGCGTTAGCAGAGGTAGAAGGAATGTGTCAGACAGAGAGTCAGCAAAGAATAGCTGATAGTTTAGGATAAGTAATAAAAATGAATTAATAAAGATGAACACAAACTCAGATTATTGAACGTGTGGATGAGTGTGTTTGAGCCTGAAAGAATATTTGTTTGTGTGTCTAGGACAATTGGAGTGATCGTTTTTCATCTGTCTACACACACACACACACACACACACACACACACACACACACACACACACACA